AACCCCAAAAACTCGAGCATTTCAAAATAGTCAACAAACAGAAGGCGCTCGGGTTTTGGGTCTTATTTTAAGTCTATAAAAGAAACATACATGTTCAATACTCAAAGCATCAGTCCAATAAATCTGTTGAAAGACCATTACACTGCTCACGAAATCATTTTTGATTATTTTAGCTTTCAAAAATCTTTAGTTTTTTTCTTGGCATTCAGTTAAATTAATTATAGGAAAATAAACAGATTAATATCAGTTCTTTTATAATTTTAAAATATTTATTTAAATATTCTTTAATACATTAAATCCTTGTTAATCTGAATGCAGTTGTAATGAATTAATTTTATTCGGATTATCTAGAAATTCAGAGTCGACTCGGTCATTTTGAAGACGATGGACAGTATTAGTAGCATGACGTTTAAATTCATGAATGTGAGGGTGCAAATGCAAATGGTAAACAAAAAGCAACTGTATGAGCAATAAACTTATCATTCCATACATCATCAATAATTATACAAATTACCTAATCAAAGTGGCATTTCATTACCTTCACATACATTTTTTTCAAACGAGTTACTTACAGATTACAAATTATATAGTATTAATCAAAAATACAACGAATCACCTTCCAAAGAAGGACGTTATCAGAGTATGCTTTGGAACTACTTTTTTTTTTCCTTTTGAAGATTCTCAGTAGCTTTAATTAAGCAATTAACAACACAAGTCATCATCTCCACATAAATCACTGTTTTGTTTGAACCAAGTGATGACATCTTGAAGGCTAGATTCAAATTGATTGGCTTGTGGACTTGGGCAATTAGTGGTGTTTGCCAATTTATTAATAAACAGTCTCATTAAATGATTAGTACAGTGTTCTTCAAACCGTGGCACATACAAGCAAAAAATAAATAAAAAGCAAAAGTGTTAGTAGTGGGTGCTGCCAGACAGTTGACTTCCTTCTAGTCAACAGTTCAATGACAGTGACAGATAGCCTTAGTAGCCTTGAATCACAAAGACAGGGCAAGCAAGTTTTGTGGCGATGAGAAGCAAACCCGAGGCACTCAAATCATGAGCCCCTTCCCTCAAACTACCAGAGTTGAAGGAACTCAAAGTAAAAACAAACAAACTATAAGGCCCAAATTAGGCACATCAAAGATAACCCATTACGTAGCTTTGTACTTAAGAACAAACAAACATAATAGCAATATTTTGATCACTAGGATAGTTGTAATAATCAAAAATATTAATTTTGATTAATTGATTATTTTAGTGAGAACCGATTTAACCACAGTTTTGATTAATAATTAAAAACACTAATTTCAATTAGTTCATTATTTTCACAATATTAATCAATTAGTTTACAAAACCCTAATCAATGTATTTGGCTGTTCATAGGTAATAACTTATACTGACAAGTCACCTATTAATACTGGCTTCACTTGTGGATCGTCTCGAGGTCAGATTCACTTTTCACACTCTTAAAAAGACACAATGGAAATGATACCTTCATTTGACATGTCTTGGTTATGCTGAGTTGATGATAAGCCACTAATCAGATGAGATAGCATCATTACTACCTGAAGTGATTGTGTTTTGATCAGCACCTGCCATTTACACCTTTATTTTCTTTATTACAAAGCATCCTTTAAAACATTGCAACCATCCTCTGGAGGATCCAAACTCTACTACACCAAGCTACTGTCCAATTTGATTAGCTTTCTTAATAAACATTTTGACGTAACATCACATGTCCAAAGATACAGAACTTGCTCCGTGTTTGCATGCTTAGAATGTCTCGTCCTTGTTCGTGAACCTGAACATTTACCCACCTTTCTCTACTGTGAAGAATGCCAGATATAACTGACTTACACACAAGAATATTTCTTTCTACACAGAAGTGCCTAATGATGGTGTAAAAGCCTTGTAATCAAATAAATATTTTTGTTTAACACATGCTAAACAGAAGAGAAATTCACTTAAATTAACGAGGGTTAGAAGTAATAAAAAACTACAATATAATTTTTCCGTTAGCTAAGAAACAAATTACTTATCAATTATTACAAGTTGTATTCCATATTTTTAAAAAAGACAAACAAAAGATGGCACTGCTAACATACAATAAGTATAGATGAAAGAAAAAAAAAAGACGATACCTTCAAAAAATTAAATGCTACAAAGCTGATGAATGCAAATAGGACTTGGCAGCATTTTCATTTGCAAACGTTAGGGAAGCCGGCTGACTTAAATGTATTTGCTATATCCAAGTTGATACTGGAATTGGTGTTAAAAGTAGAGACATATTAAAGATACAAAATGTTCAAAGAACTTATAAATTTGGAAGAAACTGAAAATGAATCAACAAATCTTTATCAAACAAAAGCAAGTATCAGGTGATACATAAACCTGTCATCATTTCTGCTCAGTATAAATAAGAAAGTGAGATTAAAAGAAACTGAATACTAACACAAAATCTATTAGAAATCGGAACAACTAATTGTTTAGAACACACGGCACGCACTAGTTTAAACATAGTCACATGTTTGTTTGATAACAGACACTTGGTAATTGTGTCTACAATTCAAACAATTATATTTGAATATATTATAGCATTTATTCTATAACATTTGAAATATTTATACATAACAACTAATTCAATACCACTGGTGTTATTCAACTCATCTATCCTTTCAAAATTTCTTAATTTGCCTATTTCGTCATTTATCTGTAAACTTGTTAAAATATTAAGTAGTACTTTCAGTCAACCATAGGACACAAGAGCCAGGCCCGTACTTGAATTAAATTACAGGACAAAATGATTTTTTTTTTCTTCTACCAAAGTTGTATCAACGATTTTGCATATACTCTTACTGGCAACTACACAAAAATATTTAAGTTTTTAAAAGTACATTTTTATTATTTGGACAGACTGTTTTACTTAAACAAAAATTACCTCTTGAACTGTGAATATATGTACCTAAAAGCTTTTGGAGGGTATACTTTTCCTTGTTAGGGCTTTTTGAGATTAAACTTGTGCAAGATTTTATTTTTGAATATACTCACAATATTGGTACTTCTTAACTTAAGCAATCGAGTGAATTATTAATTATTATTTATATAGCCTAAGAATCGTGGTATAACCTAGCTTTTAACAGTTAATAATGAGGGATTTCTAATAACCTTTTCATACAAAGATCTTCTCAGACTGAGCTCTGAATAGTATTATTAAGGATATGCCTAGTCTAACAATAACTGTGCACACTTCAAGATCTAAAAAAGTGTGAAAGTTACCACTTTATAATTTTAACTTAAAATTAAATGTACATTTTGTTCATATGCACACCTTTGTATTTTATCAAGTTTATAAGTTAACTAGCTTTGCAGCTAAGTTTACCTTCATGTAATCATAATATAGGATTTATCCAGTACTGATAATTTTTCTAATTTTGCTAACTCTTTAAAAATGTATGTCTAAAGGTTAGCCCTCTAAATTCTAATGGTGTTCGTCAATTACGTGTATTATAATACATCAATTAAACACAATACAACTTGTCAGTAGGTTCATAAGAGTAATACTACTAATAGTAATAGTGGTAGCAATGCCACTGTAGCTAGCAGTAGTAGTACTACGGTTAACCGCTAAATTTCAAACATATTCGCCCAAGCACCTGGCCACAAATTCGGCCGAACAGTCGAACGATAAATTTCATTTGCCTTGGTTCGTCAGATCACGAAGTAATTGCAACAATATCAAACTAGCTGGTAGACTACATTAGGCCCAAGTTCTACAAGTACAATGAAGAACCAGGTAGTAATACAGTATTAGGCCTATACTACTTTACTTATTAAACTAATGTAATAACAAACAAACTAAGCCTACCTTTTCCTATTGTCAGTAGTGTTATTTTCACCTGTACGTCCTTTGAATTTCGACTTTGGTCCTTTGGAACGTTTCTTTTTAGCCTGAATAGCCATTACTACACACAGAAAATAAAATTTAAAGTGTAAAATAAAGATGTTTTTCTTTCAAAATAAATAAAATGAAATAAACCTTGTAATAACATCAAAGTTTATTTTCACTAACCTTTTCTATTCACATCGGTGTTCATTTTGGTATATTTTGCAGAAACGAATTGGAGTATGCGCAATGAACTTGTTTCTTAAAGCTCTACTGCGAACACGCTTCTCTAACTTACTGCAATTTTATTTATAATAATTTCGAAATGGTATGATTAAACTGAATGTTAAGAATAAATAATTTATAAGCTTGTATGATAATAATTAAAGTAATTTGATAAATGTGTTTTTAATTTTGAGCCATAGCATAAACGGTAAGATACCAACTTCAATCTTTTTCTTTGTCTTATTTACAAATTTTCGGTGTATAAATATTTTTACGACCTACATTTTCAATGTTTTAATTTTGATGGTAGCTAGATGGCGCATGACATTAAGATTAAGTAAGTTAAAAATAGTCCTAGAATATCTAGAATGTTCGTGAAGATTAGTGAGGCTGCAAAGTGTCTAGAAACAATGTTACGTTATAAGTACGAGAATCAGTGAAGCATCGAGTTAGTTTTCCGTTGGTAGAGTGCAAATATTTTAGTGAATTATTTAGTTTCGGTGACGTGCCTGAATCTGTGTTAGTTATCGTTTCTCAATCTATTAGCCCTGAAATTGTGCAAGTAAGTTTATTTGTACGTTAGTTTAGCAAGTAAATTTCAGTTGAAAGAGAAAATGTTAGTTGTGAGATAAGGTCGACAAGTACAACTGTGTACAAGTGATAGTAGCCTGTAGATTAAAGAAGAAATAAACTAAGCTGTTATTATTAATTGCAATGGATGACTCTATTTTCACTAAATAATTAAAGAACCAGCCCAATGAACAACAAGGTCCACGAAAGAAACAGTATGGGAAATTACAGCAGTATCGTATTGGAGGAACATCACTTGAAAGAGTTGCTATCAATATGTTTGCCACAAAGTAATTGTGTGAATAAACATATTATGGTTGTGATGGGCTATTTCAAAAAATTGCCAGAAGCATACCTTCTGAAAAGGATATGAGGAAGAACAAACTCTACTAAGGAAGTTCGTTAACAATTTGTTTCAAAATTTGGGTACCTATGGAACTTCACTCAGAGCAGGGACAGAACTTTGAATTACTTTTGCTTATGGAAATGTGTCAGATCCTTGGGATCAAAAAGACCAGGACGAGAGCTTTTCGTCCATTTTTTAACAACATGGTGGAGAGATGCAACTGCATACTTTTAAACCAGTTAGCCATTTATGAAGATGAAAACGTTGGATCAAGATCTTCTATTGTTACTGATGAGTTATTGTACAGAAGTACATTAAGCTACTGGCAAAAACCCCATCATCACTGATGTTTGGGAGAAAACTTAAAGTGGCATTGGATTGTCTTTACTCTCATCTGGAGAACAATCACTCAGAAGGGTCTTACACTGAATATGTAGAGAGAGATTATGGAACATCATTGATGTCATACATGACCTTACCCCAGGAATAGGATGATCAGATTTCCAAATTGAAAAACCGAGACTGCCCAGCCATTGCCCCTTATTGCTAGACTGAAGCAAAAATATAGATAAACCCCTTATCATCCTCTGGCTAGACTGAAGCAAAAATAAAGATAAATCCATTATTATCCCCTGGCTAGACTGAAGCAAAAATAAAGATAAACTCATTATTATTCTCTGACTATACTGAAGCAAAAATATAGATAAACCCATTATCATCCTCTGGCTAGACTGAAGCAAAATAAAGATAAATCCATTATTATCCCCTGGCTAGACTGAAGCAAAAATAAAGATAAATCCATTATCATCCTCTGGCTAGACTGAAGAAAAATAAACTATAAACTTTATACTTTAC